TTTTTATCCGCCATCTCTATCTTTCTGTCGCTCGGCTCGGCTAATGTCCGTCCTGTGCACTGAACGCTCTCTCCTCCACATCATGAGTAGACACGCCCCTTACTGCTGATTGGCTATAAGTTTGTTTTGCTATTCGGCCCGAATCAGTTTTCTAAAGCGTTTTTGAAAAATCGCTTACCCCACCTTTAAACATTGATGTGTATGTTTTGAAAGTGCCACAGTGTTTACACTTCCCAACCTATGAATGGTTTACTTAGTGTTTCTGCTTAAAAAAAAACTTTAAAAAAACAACTGAATCTTACCTTAACAGCTTCAGCATCACATGTTCCAGGTGGACCCTGTGTTGAAGAAATAAATCTCAGTATGAATCAATCAAATCACTTACACTTGCATTTGGAAGCTCATTTTAAAATGTCTTGGCCAAGGAAGCTTATTTATTAAAACCCAAAACCTGATTTTGTAAAAGGCAAAATAAAATGTAAATTCAGCTTTAACTGCCTGACCCTGCAACCAGGACAGCATTCGCTGCGTATTAGCCTCTGTCGCCCACGACTGCAGCAACAACACCTGCAAACGTCCTTGACAAAGGTCACTAGACACATCCGCTCAACTAAATATCCAGACAGATTAGGGCTCCTGGACCGCACATGGCGTTCCTCGACACCTCGAGGCTGGGGGAGGATGTCTGTGCCGCCCGGGGCCCTCCTCCTCCCCACCAGTGACGACAGGCCACTCGTAAATGCCAGCTCCTGAGGACAGAAGCAAGGTTGGCACATGCCACGGAAATTATCGGGACACTGCCATTTAAAAATGTCACTCTTCGAAACTACTTCCCTCCCGACTCTTGTGACTTTGTGTTCACCACTTTATAACTTTCCTGTAATGGAAAGTGACAGAGATTTACAGCAGCATGTGTGAAACTAAAGGGCCAGTCAATGTTAGTATGCAGAGCAGATCTGGCAACATTTGCAGTTCGTTTTGCGGCTTAGTGGATCTTTAAAGAAACAGTTGAACCAAAAATGAATTCCTTTTTTAGGAAATGCGATTACAATGAATGGGGTGTTCAAAAGGTCGCAAAAATATCATAAATATTATAAATGTGGTCCATACGACCCAAGTCTTCTGAAGCAATATGTTAGCTTTGTGTGAAAAACAGACCCTTATTCTTATCTGGCACTGAATGTTGACACTAATGTCATCTGTAGAGATGCTTTAAAGCTGAATCAAATCAAAGTTTCATAATTGATGAAATGTTACAGTCACTGAACTGAATCTGAACCAACACTTAACTGACTTGAGCTGAATGACACTATTGTCTTTTTTGAGCTGCTTTAGAGCAGGATTTGAATTTGTCTCATATTTGATAAAGTTAGCATCATTGATACTGTTGCTTCCCTGTTTATTACTGTGAAGCTGCTTTTAAACATCCTGTATTGTTTACGCATTTTATAAATAAAGGTGACTTTACTTGAATCTTTTCAATGAATCAGTTGATTCGATTTACAAAACCACTCTAAATGATTCGTTCACAAAGCAGACTCATTATAGTAGTAAACACAATCACTGGTGAAGTTTAGCAGTGAATAACTACTTCAATGTCAGTCTGATGCTTACACAATATCACTGTAGTAAACAAGTCAAATGAACCACTTTTTTGATGCCTTTGCTTAAGTTCCTATTTATAGTAACTGCATGCAAAAGAGCAACCAGCACAGTCTCAACAAAAAAATGTCAAACTGTTTTAAAACACAAGAGAGAGCAAATAATGTCATAATTTCCATTTTGGGTGAAGTATTCCTTTACGTTTTCATTCAATATAGCTATGTATTAATCACTCATTTCGCACTTAAAAGAGATTCAGTAAAGCTGGCAATGTTTATCCAGTTCTACACATGTGGATACCACCACCAAGCCAAAGGCAATGTAAATATGGCAGAAATTTCTGATGCAACAAACATTTCAAAGCCCGAAGTGTGTGTGTGTGTGTGTGATTTTTACTTCACACACATTTCCATACTGATGCCACGGCTGTGATGAGATGACTATTTATCAAGCAGTAAACTAGGGCCCCTTTGAGTGTCTCATCAGGATCTTCAATAACACTTATGCATGGGACTGCTCTTAATATGGCCCTCTGGGCTGCTTGAAATCGTAATTTGAAACACTGATCCACACAGTGCATGTGATGGAGATTTAACTTGAGCCAATGCAAAAACCAAGAAATCTCATCTTGAGGGGGATGAATATAGCAGCAGGTATCTGTCCATTATGCACAATGACAAATTTTGTTTGCTTTTGAAGCAGATTTATGACAATAATTCTGAATCTGAAATGACTATGAATTGCATGGAGACGAAATTAGGTAGAAGTGATATAAATGAAATGGTACAAATGAGTTGCATCTAAAAAACATTATATTTAAATATATACTTTTTTTCATAAGCATAATATATATTGTTTCATTTCATTAAAATTAATTGTTTTACACAGTATTTTGGGAACAAAACCATGATTTTTTTTATATTCTAAACTTGATATACTTTTGGACATGTAGATATTACATTTCCAGTTTTAGGAGAAATTTTGCAGAAAGCTGGAGCATGGATTCAAATTTTGTAAAATTGAGCTACTACACTCGTTAGTAGCTGAAATATCTCACTAAAATGAATAAGTAAGAGACAAACACTCAGGGTTAAAAACTTTGTCAATGGCAGGCGTAGAAATGCATAACAAATAGGCGTAGAGATTTCTAAAAAGCTTTGTGGGCACAGATGCTATGTGGGCCTGAGAATGTCTCATCATATTAATGCAGAAATATACCAAATATGACATCAACAGGTAGCAAACTTGAAGTTTTATTTAATTTATTTTCTAATGCACTTCTGCACGAATTAAATAAAATGGTAACACTTTACATTTAGGTTACCTTTGTAAAGGGTTTATAAAGGTGTTCATAAATGACATAACTCATTTACAAATGCATTATAAATCGTTGTTAAGCAGTTATAAATGCATGAATAAAAAGCGCGATTTTAATGCAATACCTGCCAAATAGTGAGACATTTTTAACTCAAGTTATAAATGCTTAATAAATATAATTATTCATACTTGTTTCACTAAAAACCAGATTCCGGATTTATTTCATGAGGCAAAACTCCTCCGAGTCAATCCACTCAGTCTATTTTTCAACCGCTGATTAAATCGGTTCCTGTACTATAAAAAATAAAAAATCTAAATATCTCTAAAACAGGATACAGAGGCCCTAAAGATTACTTGGATACTTAACAAACACTGAAACAATTTATGAATCTCATTGTATTACATAATAAAATATCAAATCAATTGGAAGGCAGGAATAAACCAAATGCAAAACATTTCATAAATAAAACTCTGCTACTACTAATAGTCTTGCTTTGACATTTTGTATCTAATTCAATGACATTCAAACATGTTTAAGTGTGACATAAGTGTCCTAATACTTTGTGGGGTCTTTGCAAATTCACTTAAGAAGAAAAAAACTATTAGTAAAAATAATAATAATGCTCGATTACAGAGAACTAATTGTGAATGAAGTTTAATTTGCTTCTCCTGTTGCATTGCCAAGCTCATGATTGGCTTGGGCAGGCCTTCCAGTTTTTCAATGGCCAATTATTCAACTTTCATTTTTGCTTTCTTGTCTTGTCAGTGTAAAGCTTCACAAACCATAAACTATAATTCTTACCGGTGGTCCTGGAGCCCCTTGTTCTCCTGTTTTCCCCCGTCGACCCTGCGACACAGAAAATAAGAGCGTAAGAAAAGACAGACCGTTTCAACAACAGGTTCATGTTTGGCAATGCTGGGTGGCAATTAGAAGAAGACAGCTCCTCTTGTTGCAGTGACAAATTTGCTTTTAATTAACAGAAAGAAAACAGCTTAATTGCAGAGCTCTGTGTGGTGCATCGATTTCTCTATACCGCCCAAGCCTATCCCCTCCCTTCCAGCTGTTACAAACCACGGCCACATCAATCAAAAACAGACCCTCTGTGACAAACAGAACGGGCCCCTGAGCACGGCCCCGAATGGACATAATGGACTATTCACAAATATAATAAGCGCCTTCAATTCATATGCTCGAAACACACGAAAAGGTAAAGTGCATGAGGTGGGCTCAATGAAAGCCGTCAAAACTGCCAGTCACCGTTTTAATTTTCGGTGCGGCACGATGACACAAGTGTATCGGAAAAACTGACATAAAGACAGCCAGTGTGGCAACCTCGGGGAAATTAGTTTCCACATTGTCCCTCGATGAATAAGCCGGACATTTCTTTGATGGCTGCGTCTTCTTTGCTAAATTAATTTTATGGAGACGTTTTATATACAAGCACATGGTACAATTTCAGCAATATGTACACCATTATTAAGAATTCAGCAGGGGGAGGACCAGACTGTTTTTTGTCTATGTGAAGAGTGTTTGTGAGATCGTTGTTCATGGTTGGATGAAAGAGGAAGTGGAACGTGCACACAAGAGCCAGTGGCTTGTCTGTATCCTTAGAACTGTTCATTTACATAGTCTTTGATTTGATGATGTCGAGTTCGCCGTGGTTTATCATTTTTCATTACCTGTAACAAAGAACTCCCGATGAATAAACCGCTTTCATCATCAGGCCCTGTTTGAATGGATGTGTTTGCTGCCAATTTCAGAGCAATAAGGGAACATTAACCTTAATGATGAAACAATAACCAGAAGGAATCTTAGCAGATCCTTGAGTATGATATTGTCTGAAATTCCATGCACAGGTTTTTTTTTTTTTTTTTTTTTTTTTTTATGTCCTCGGGCCAGATTTACAAAACACTCTCAATAATAAAATCCTTCTTAACTGCTATTCTTACTTAAAAAAAAAAATAAATAAAAAAAATGTATTCCTAAAATACTTCTTAAGAATGTTCTTTTTTTCTTAAGATTGCCAGAATTCAAATCCTTAAAAAGAACCTTCCTAAAAATAATTGTAAATAGCTTTTAAAGTTAGGATCACCATCAGCTTGTCAAAAATCCCCAAAGGTAAGATGATTCATTCATTTATTAGGTTTTTCAAAAATTAAGCATTACAATGTAACACTAGCTACATACAATACATATTACTTATGACTATTACAGTAATTTGCAGGGAATGCAAAAAGATGGCCTTTTATTGAGTTTTTCATTGAGTTTATCAGTGAGTCTGGCATCGATCAGATAATCAAAGCCTGTTATTATGTTCATAACAAACACAATTTTTAAGAGTATATCTGATAACTGTAGTTTTCAAGAAGCACATGCAGGAACACTCTTATGAACTTCTTGGAATTTATCTTGAGAAATTTCTTAACTTCTTAAGATTATGTTTTTTTTGTTAATCCAGCCCCTATAGTTTGCAACTATGGCCTCATTCTAGGGTGGATGATAGTGGATAGTTGCTTGGGTGTTTCTAGGTGGATGTTTAATGCCAGTCTCTCTAGTAAAAGGGAAGTTGAAATATGTCATTCTCATGGCTCTGAACATTTAAATCCATCATCTGATTATGCTGCTCCGTGAAAATCAAGTAGGTTGTTATCAGCAGTAATGATACGTTAACACAGCTTAGAGTCGGCGAAACAGGTCAATGAATGGTTTGTTCTGGTTTCAGTCTGTGCTGTCTGAAAAACATAAAACAACAAAAGCTACAAGAAAAAACAAAAATACATATTTCATAATCCTATGAAACCAGACTGATGATGAATAATGTATTTTCTAATCATCTTCCTTTTGCCTTTAAAATATATTACGCTCTTCTGTGAATACTAATATCTTGGTGGCTGTAAGATATGCCATAACAGACCTCATGCATTATAGAAAACTGGGAATAAAGTGTTAAATGTGAGTCAAAAGTTGCAGATTACAACAATACCATGACTCGGAATGTTAAACTCTCTATATGGTTTCATAATGCACTAATGCGGAAGTCGGAAAACCATGAAATAATGATCAGAAATTGGTGCTTACCTGTGCAAACCTTACTAATCACAATGCTTGAGTGGTCTGGGTTTCTTCTAGAATGTTCATTTTTGACCCAATATAAAAGGATAAAAATACATAAAATAAATCAATAAATATTTTTTGTAGATTAATAGTACTGTAAATTAGCACAAATAATATTTACTTCTTATTTAAAATTGAATTATAAATTAATATTTTAATTTAAATATTTTAAAATCAAAACGAATAATTATGATATAATATATAATATAATATAATAAAAAAATTGAAGAAAGTTATGTAAAAGGCCTGTTTTCAGCAGCCAATAATACTCTATGAAAATCGGCTAAAAAATCTTTATAATGTGCTGATTTGGTACTTAGTTAAAACCAGTTGTGCTAATTCAAGGGTGAAACCTGCAGTTTCTGATGTATTGAGTACACTTGCAAGTATTTTTGCAAGTCACTTTATACTTTAAAGGTCCCATATTGTCAAAACTGAAATTTCCTGGCTTTTTTCACGATTACTGAGGTCTAGGGGCTATTTAACTACCACAAACAGTCAGTCCACAGTCAAATTCACACAGCCTGCTTAAAGTTCTAGCTATTTTTCACGAACCGTTGTGACTTCCGTAAAAAGTTGACGTCAGAACTACA